CATTTTACAAAAAATAGTATAAGAAAATACACATTCAACGCAAAAACATTTTAATTGTCAAAAATATTTCTTGGCTTCATATAATTTAGGGTCCGTTTGGGAGCCATTCTTTTTCAAATAATACATTTTATCTTTCACATCAAGTGGGGTCCATGGAGAATGTGTGGTTGAAAAAGAAGGAAAAGTTATTGATGTGATGGAAAATATTATTTTATTGAAAAATGTGTGGTTAAAAATGAGTAGAAGAATGAGAATGAAAATTTTAATGGTTACCAAACGGAGGCTTAATATAAATTTGTCCATGTAACATTTTCGGGCATGAAGTACCAAAATAATTCAGATTTTTTGTCCATTGTAATTATAGAGACCTAATATTATATAAGTCATGAATCAATTATAAATCCGTCCAACCCGACCCGCCTAATTTAACATTTGTTGACAAATTGTCTCAAACCGATCGACCTAATCCGACCAATACTTGATTTGATTCGGTTGAATTGAATTGTGTTTCAACCTTTACACCGGTTGGATTGGATTAAATTATGACTGAATCGATCATGTTCAGTTGAGTTTGGGTTGATGTAAAAACCGACACAACACATGCCCACCCCTACATGTACATCATTCATTACATTATTCTTTTCACTTTGTCACGAGCATGTGATTGGACAGTTTAAAAAATTAAACAATTTTCTCTTCGATTGTATAATTTTTTAACAACACATCAAATATCAATGATGAGTGTACATCTAGCATTTTTAATAAGGAAAATGTTAGTTATAAATGTGTGAAATAGAAATGGAAGAGTTTTTTATTTTGATCAAATTAAATCTCGTCTTATCATCCGTTAATAAATAAAAATGTAAGTTATGATGCACATGTAACATAATCGAATAAATAATTATATTGAGTAATTAAATAGTATCTATGAGTAATTAAATAGTATAGCTGCCAATAAATTTAGTCAAACTATTGTAGATAGCTTAATTTAAAATTTTCATTTTAATTTTACTTGTATTAAAAAAGGTTTTTTTTTTCCGAATAAGCCAATTTATTTGGGACTCTACAACTCCACTGTTTTTCCCATTCAAAGATCAGCCCATTGTTATGTGTTTTCACATCGAGAATTATTCACAAATGAAGAGATGTCAAAGGGGCTTCTTGCTCCCAAACAAATCCGAAATGGATTTTAACTTTTTCCATATGCATGTATTATTTTACCTTTTACTATAAGTAATTGTTTGGTTAAATTTTAATTTCTTATAAACAATGTGTCACAAATAATGTGTAATTAAAAATATATAAAAGTAACGAGTTTTATAGAATACGCAAATTAAAATAGAGCTCTAATCAGCTTATAGGCAAATTATGAAGTGCATAGCTCAGTGGTGCAAATGATAGGAGTGGAGTAATTTCAGTTGAGCTGGCAGCCGCAGTGTGATGGTTCGATTCCTGCCTTTTACAAAAGTGTGAAATTAGGCTCTTTATGGACATCAGTATGACAACTTTTTTACTCTGATATGTTGAGGCACATCCCACGATTTACCTCCTCCACAATACTCGTGAGGTCGGATAGGACGGGGCGGGGTTGGGTTCAACCTTTTTTAATTATGAACTTTGCCAAATATATGATCGAACTTTTCACTAAGTTAAAGTTTAAAGTGTAACTTAAAAGTCACGTTGATTGGTTTTCTCTACAAAGTCATCATGGATGAATTTTATTAGGCTCTTGCTTGATAGGGATAAAAAAAATTTTAATAAATTTTGATATGATGGAAAAGTTGTAGATTTCATGAAATGTGATTAAAATTAACAGTTGATTTTAATTCAGACAAAACACTAACCAAATATACGTAAAACCATACGAAGGATATACTATAAATGCAGTCAAAATAGGCTTTCTGATATACCGTCAAGTGGCACTAACCGGAGAAAAAAACAAAGATAAAGTTAATCTCATATTCACGCATTTAATTGGTCTCATAACATCTTCAATGGGACTGTTGTTTGCACCAAACAATATGGCACTACTTATGTAACAAGGAAAAAAGTCAAGTGTCTTAGTTATCAGATTTGACTCGATCATCGACCGGAACAAATTATTGGATAGTCGAGTCAATATTTCAACTGGTGAATTATAGTCAAAATAATTTTAATTAAAAATACTTTTAAAACAAAAGGACGAGAATCTCTACTAGTGCATATGGAGTATAAAGTTTTGCTCTAACAAATTCATTAATCAACCAGTTCACATTAAATCAGTTTTAATTTTCTCTTAAATTGTCTGTTTCGATCAGTTATTAACTTGTCAAATCGATTCATTTGTTAAATAGATTAATGCACTCAGATCAGATCACTATCTGAATCGTTGGTTCGTGGACATGATCGGCTGGTTCGATCTGATTTGATAATTAAGGGTATAGCAGACATCCTTCACTTTTTTTCTATAATTTATTTTTATTAAACGATGTGTTCATTTAACTTTTTACAATTTATCTTTAGTTTTTCTCTACATCATCTCTCTTGTACACGTAGCATATAAATTAATGCAATTCACATTCGCATTAGAGATGCTCCTCTCTCCATTCTCATTTTTCTCGCAACATGTACAACAATTCACATTGTTACATTGGAGACGATCTTATCATTTCACCCCGAATAATGTTAGATACAAAGTGAGGATCATCCCCGAGTAACATTACACGTGATGTTGGATGAAATGATAAAACCAATTAAAAGTATGAATATGAGATCTAATTTATTGCTCTTATTATTTAATATCACGTTACATGTAAATCATCTCCAATTAATATGAACATCATCGTTCTGTCACTTCACATCGCGGCCACAACATGGATATCGTCCCCACTTTATACATGTAGCATTAGTATTAGCATCTTAATACGTATGGTTGAGAAATTTAATGATGAATTAAATAGTGGACCAAACTTTCCATTTGTGGGCTGCAGTCCTACTTCGTAGACAGACCAACTAAATACAAAATTAAACAACATTAATTTGCACATAAATTGTAAGGACGATGTAGGCCATTTAGCTTCTTTTATTTGGTGGTTGGAAGGCGCCTGCTTTAAATTGAGAGCATTCAGTTTATATTTAATGTCGATTACTACC